AAAGTAAGACAAGGAACCAGCACTGAGGAACTGCACAAGGAGTGTATTTATGGGAGACTGAACAAAGAGAGTACTAACGAGAAAATTAGGAGCAGGTGTGAACAGAGCAGTCTGGAAAGGAGCTAGGGAAAGAAGACCAACACAAGACGGCAACAGAGAGTAACAAATAAAACCCTTAGATCTCAAATATTTTCAGAAAATACAACAAAATAGGAATTAAACCAATAAAACTAGAAAACACGGAGTAAAGTAAAACTTAACAGAACCAAGTCCGTGACAAAGGGACTTGAGGGTTAAAGCATTTTTTTTAAATGTCTTGAAGTGTATTTCAGATTACTGGTGCATAAGAACTAAATGCTGTTTCTCCAGGTTTTTATCTGATACCAAGAATGCAAAGTAGATTTGAGACATTAAATCTACTGTAAGAGGTCTGTAGGGTTGATACACAAACAGCAGGTCTGTAATCACGATTTATAGACTACTGAAGTAATTTAAAGTCTGTACTCTGAGAGACGAGGAGCTGGTGTAATGATTTTAGAACTGGGGTGATGTGCTCCAATTTCTTAGTTTAAATGAGGATGTAGGCAGGAGCATTCTTGATCAACTGCAGCTGCCTGATGGGCTTTTTAGACTGACCTTTGAAAACTTCTGGTGGTAATCAATTCTGGCAAAGATGAACACATTGATTAGTTTTCAAGGTCCCGCTGAGACAATAGTCATTTAAACCTGGAAATAACTGAAGCTAACTTTTGAACCCTCTTTTGTTGTCCAAAAATTAATACCTCAATTTTATTGCGTCTATGCATAAATGTTTTCTACACATTTGCCAAATACTTTGATGGGTTAATACTCACCTTGTGACGTCATAATGTAGAGACATCATAATAGAGCATGCCACATGTAATTTTTGTGGTGTTGTGATATTTTAACTGTAGAATATGAATATTTAATTAACCAGGGCTGGGAACTGTAGTTAATTGATAGATCATTCAAAACCAAGCGAAAAACCGGTTAAATTTTCTTAGTTTGGTAATTACAACTGTAATCCACTTACTCACCAGGATTTTGGCCTCTTACAATCCAGGTGGCTTCTGGACTGGCTGTTAAAATCTATTTTTTCCTCACCAAATTAGTGACTTAGGATATCAACAGAGCTATTAATTACAAACTTAAGAAATTATTAATTATTTATTCAGATGTCACCAAAAGGAGATGGAATCTGTCCCGAGTGATAAACCACTCATTGTACAATAACCAAAAACTACTATAGGTTAGAATAATGATTTCTTTATTTTAACAATACAGGATTATTAAGAAAGCTAACATCTATGCAAACACTACAGACTACCAGAAAATAAGCATGAGGTAGACTAAATTAACAATGTGGAAGAGACAAAGAGTCGGTCTAGGAGTCCAATACATTCAATAATATCCGTAAAAAAAAAGCTGATATAATGAGCAATAATAGGTTAAAACATTGTGAATTAATTCAGCTTACAATGGTTAATGTTTACAAATGTATTAAAAAATGTAGTATTGTAACACTTCGGCAAACCTACATTCATTTAACGTATTTAGCGAAGGGGGGGTTCTACTATCAGAACTCCAAAAAGTAAGATGGCAGACCCCTACCATGTGGTCAAAAAAGGTGGAGCAACAAGCTAGAAAAATACTGGAGGTTGTTGATGAAAAAATGGTGGATCTTATCACATGACCAAAAAGGGAGGGTTGGACTACAAATGTGGCCATACCTTAGGTTATGAAACTCATAAAATGGCAGCTCATAACCTATGACAAAGACGAGGGTTTTAAAAGGGGTACAAACACTCAGTTACTCTAAAATACCAACCTCGGGACGAAAGGAAACCAAGAAATGAAGATCACACTGAGCCAATCACGACACATTCATTCACACCATGAAACCAAGGCTCAGTTTTGAAAGCCTTTTAAAGGAACCATCAGTTTAAAGAGTCTATATATTGAAAGCTATATTAAAAAAAAAAGTTTTATTAATTTTTTTTACTCTATTTTTTGTAGTTTAATTCTATTAGGTTTTATATATTTTAATTTTAACCATTGAGTCTGACTCTGCATCTGTCTTTGGGTTGGCTGGCACAGTTATTTTCTGTCTTGCCCAGTTACAAAAGACAATGTCAGGTTTGACAGGACCCGAATGCAGAGGCTGAAGCTGAGGTGATTTCTTGCAAGATTTAATTAAACAAAAAAGGGTAAAAGAAGCAAAAATCCAAAAACATAAATCTTCAAAAACCAAATATCATGAAAAACAGGAATACTCACAAGGGGGTAAAGAATTTATGACAAAACCAGCAATCGCATTGCTGGTTTTGCATTTTTTGAACAGTTTCTTTTTGAACAGTTTTGCATTTTTTGAACAGTATTTCCTCGCATTTTTTATAGTGAGTTATATTGACTACTAAATTCAAGAAATCATTATTATTTACTACTGTATATTCCTTCCATACAGATCAAAAGTATGGCTCTTTTTTTGACCTAAGATTTCCAATAATCTTTATAATGTCAGGATAAGCTTTCACTAGTTTTGTGTTCATATTCTAAAAGTAAAAAATTACATTTGGATTTTAGTAAAGATAATACTTTTGGACTTTTTTTTTTGATGTGACATATAAAATGTTAAGATTTATTTCAACTGGACTGTTTATAGTCTCTAATGGAAATTTTAATCATGTTTTAAAGGTCTTCAGATTAAATACATGCTTAGCTTTAATATTATTATGTATTTCTTTTTATTTAGCACGAGGATCAGCGTCTTTTTTTGGATCAGGTGAGACACCTCTCAAGATTATCAAGATCACTAGTTTCTTACAGCATAATTCACCATCCTGGAGAGAAATATCAGCTGTGCTGCTGCCATCAGCACCTTTGTTTATAGATGTTCAAGATCGGCCTGTTTTTCAGTGTAGTCCTGTTTCTCTGACTGTGACTGGCTGAATGTACTCTCTTCATCCTTTGACATTGGGGCTGGCTTGGAGCTCATCTTCCTGGCTGTGTGTTTCCTGGACGGGATCGCCTTAAAAGTTGACATTTGTATCTCTGCTTCTGTCTCCTTGAACCCCAGTCAGCCTCGGCAGATGGCCGCTCACACTGAGCCTGGTTCTTCTGGAGGTTTCTTCCTGTTAAAAGGGAGTTTTTCCTCTCCACTGTTGCTACAAGCATGCTTAGTCTGAGGGATTGCCTTTGAGTCAATGAGTTGATGCAATCCAGTGGTAAAGTGCCTTGAGATGACGTGTTTTAAATTGGCGTTATATAAATAAAGTGATTTGAATTCCATTAATGCTCAATCAAACAACAGCAGTCAAGCCAAAAAAATAGTTCACCTGTCCATATCGGTTCCTTTTTATGTTCTCCAAGATGGGTGAACTCATTCACCAATCAAGGTCTCTGCAGCAGCCTCTAGACCTCCCTAATCAACACAATACATTAAAACAGTGTTTTTAAAGACAAAAGGCAATAAACCTCAGACTATTAAAGATGTGCTGCTTTGTAAAAATATGTGCTATTTTAATCAGAAGTCTCTCTATAGGCTAATTTGTCTTATTTTGAAAAACTCACAGTGAGGGAGGAGGGCCTAAAAACGTTACCAAATAGTCATTGGTGGATATTCAGGTTTTGGTTGTAGGATAGTGAGAGGAGAGGAAGTGAAGATGGGAATGGCTGAGCATTGGCCATCTATCAAAAGAACTATTGTTTGTGGCCCATTATTAAATAATTTCTATCCAGGGAGGACACACTATTCTGAATTCCACAAATTAACAAAACTAATGATAGCATTGCTTGATTTAGGTGATTAGGAGCTGGCCTGTAAGATTTGAAGCTATTGAAAACCTCTTTTCCAGCTACCAAATGGACCTTGAATTCTGTGTTTTTGTTTTTAGATTATGAATTGTGAACAAATTGTTACTCTTTATTGCATGGTGTTTTGTTCTTAACATATGCAGGAAATGGATTCTATTAGGTTTCATATATTTTAATTTCAACCATTGAGTCTGACTCTGCATCTGTCTTTGGGTTGGCTGGCAGAGTTATTTTGAGTCTTGCCGAGTTACAAAAGACAATGTCAGGTTTGACAGGACCCGAATGCAGAGGCTGAAGCTGAGGTGATTTCTTGCTAGATTTAATTAAACAAAAAGGTAAAAGAAGTAAAAATCAAAAAATCCTTATAATGAAAAACAGGAATACTCACAAGGGGGTAAAGAATTTATGACAAAACCAGCAAAGACTGACTAAACATCATTCTGTAAGCAAGGTAATACCAAGATTGCCCGCACCCAGAAGCGATTGAAAGGTGGTCGATAGTCGCTACAAGCACCGGTGAAGACCCTGTCATACATATGCTTGGCCTTTTGGTGGCACTATGACACTGCCGCAAAATCCCACCTAAACCATCGACAAAAGCACTAGGCATGTGCTGTCACTACCTGATCTGCACCAGTATCACAAAACTGCCCATCAGCTCAGTGTTAATAAAAGTATTAATACTGATAACTTAACAGGATAATTAAAGGTATCTCAATAAAAATGGGTTTGGCCTCTAATCCTGTATAATTTTTTTTTCTAAGGAAGATATAAAATACGGACATCCCAAAATTAAAAAAATCTAATTGACCTTGCATTTTTTAAAGTAAGTTATATTGACTACTAAATTCAAGTAATCGTTATTATTTACTGCTGTATATTCCTTCTTTACAGATCAAAAGTATGGCTCTTTTTTTGATGTAAGATTTCCAATCATCTTTCTAATATCAGGATAAGCTTTCACTAGTTTTGTGTTCATATTCTAAAAGTAAAAAGATAATACTTTTGGACTTGTTTATTTGATGTGACATATAAAATGTTAAGATTTATTTCAACTGTACTGTTTATAGTCTCTAATGGACATTTTAATCATGTTTTAAAGGTCTTCAGATTAGATGCTTGCTTAACTTTAATATTATTATGTATTTCTTTTTATGTAGGATGGCAACCAATGGCTTTTGATGGACCAGGTAAGACACCTCACAAGATTATCAAGATCACTACTTTCTTACAGCATAATTGATAATTCTCTGAAAGGTCCTTTCAAACATTGTGACAACCAGATATTAATGTCCACAATTACTTTCATCTTTGCCCCAAAGTTTGAAAAAAGGCTAAATCTTTTAGAAAGTAATGAAAATAAAAATCCTTGCAGGTCCCTGGTATTGTTCAATTCAGTTTATTCATATAGCGCCAATTCACAACCCAAGTCATCTCAAGGCACTTTACTGTTCACCAGATCATACAGTCAAATTGATTCAAAGTTTTCAATCTAAGGAAAACCAGATTGTCATGATGGGTGCACGGAGAGTGACCCAATTATGCAGAACACCACTAGATGGACACAGGAGTAAAAGTTTAACAAGTTTATTTGGTCACAAGCACACTGATATGACTGGTTCTGGTTCGGGCCTGGAAACTGGTTCACCGGAGTCTGCGTAAGAGACAGTTCAGTTAGCGTTGCACTTTGGAGCTTGCTTTCTTGATTGTTACTGATTGTACCTTGAGGGTTCTTGTAGATAGCTTTGAGAGGGTCACTGTTGGATCTGGAGAGGAGTTGATCAGCAGAGTCCGCAAGCTGCTTCAGCGTCTTACTTCTATTTTTGAGCAGACCTTGGCTTTGAGTTTTCCAGCTCTTAGTCCTGAGCTGCATGGAAGTTCACTGAGGTTCTTCAGGTTTGGCTCTGAGGGTAGGCTCGGCAGGTTAGCTCTTCCTGAGCTCCACAGAGGAGAAACTGGTTTCCTGGAAGACAGAGACAAGGATTAGAATCCAGGCTGGATTCAAAAGTCACAAAGATTCACTGAGAGTCTAGGCTTAGGCGCTGACCAACTGGATCAACACTGCGGCGTTGAGGCAAGGTCTGAAGACAGCTTAAGTAGTGGATCCTCTGATGATCTGATGGGCTGCAGCTGTGCAGAAGGCTCACTCAGGAGGATCCACGGCGGACTCTGCTGGAGAAAGATGGAATTTCTCCAGCTCCCAACAGTACCCCCCCCCTCAAAGACCGCCCCTTGGCGGTCCGGAAGAGGTCGAAGGGCAGGAACGCTCGTACTCCTCGATTAGGGCAGGGTCGAGGATGTACGAGCCCGGAACCCACTGGCGATCCTCCGGTCCGTAGCCCTCCCAGTCGACGAGGTACTGCCAGCCGCGACCTCGTCGACGGGAGTCCACTATGCGACGGACGGTGAAGGCGGGATGACCGTCGACCTCCAGGGCGGGTGGTGGGGAGTCGGAAGGTGGGCACAGAGAACTCGAGACGACAGGCTTCACTTGGGAGACATGGAAGGTTGGGTGGATTCGGAGAGACTGAGGCAGTTGAAGACGGACGGCAGATGGATTGATGACCCGGGAAATCTTGTATGGACCTATGAACTTGGGTGAAAGTTTTCGAGAGGGGAATGTCTCGAGTGGACAGCCATACCTCTTGGCCTTCAGAGTACTCGGGGGCGGGACGTCTCCTGGAATCTGCGAAGCGTTTGTTTGTCTCAGATGAACAGTTGAGGGTTGCGATGGTATCTGTCCAAACTTTCTGACAGCGTCTGATGTGGTGGTTGACTGACTGGACCGAAATCTCTCTCTCGTCTGCGGGAAAAAGTGGAGGTTGATAACCGAGACTGACCTGAAAGGGAGATTGTCCAGTGGAAGCAGATCTGAGGGAGTTGTGAGCATATTCGATCCAGGTTAGATATTGGCTCCAGTCGACGGGATTGTTGGAGGTGAGGCAACGAAGGGTTGATTCCAGCTGCTGGTTAATCCTCTCTGCTTGTACATTGGATTGAGGATGATAGCCGGATGTCAGAGAGGATTTACAGCCAAGTGCAGAACAGAATGCCTTCCAAACTTGGGATATGAACTGGGGACCCCGATCCGAGAGGATCTCCTGGGGGATACCATGTAAGCGGAAGACATGTTTGACTAAGAGCTGGGCTGTCTGGAAGGCCGTGGGAAGTTTCCTAAGTGGGATTAGATGACAGGACTTCGAAAAACGGTCAACAATGGTGAAGATTGTGGACATACCTCGAGAAACAGGGAGGCCAGTGACGAAGTCAATCGCTATATGGGACCATGGACGCGAGGGAACCGGAAGTGGCTGTAGCAGGCCAGAAGGAGGTTGATGTGAGGCTTTGTTTCGGGCACATGTGGAGCAAGCCAACACATACTCCTTGACATCTCTATGGAGGGTTGGCCACCAGAAGCGTCTTGAGATCAAGGCGACGGTTCTACTGACCCCCGGATGGGCGGAAAACTTGGCAGCATGCATCCATTGGATGAGACGGGACCTGACAGAAGATGGCACATAGGTTCGGTTAGCTGGACCGTTACCTGGATCGGGTTCTGTAGCTAGGGCGGAGTTGATTAGATCAGTAATCTCCCAGGTAACCACTCCTACAGTGCAGGAAGCAGGAAGAACTGGTTCAGGCATCTCAGGTTGATTGACGGAGTAAAGACGAGAGAGAGAATCAGGTTTGACATTCTTGGATCCGGGTCTCTAGGAAATAATGAGATTAAACCGTGAAAAGAATATGGACCACCTGGATTGACGGGGATTGGCTTGTTTGGTTGACTGGATGTAAGCCAGGTTCTTGTGATCCGTCCATACAAGAACCGGGTGCTCAGCTCCCTCCAGCCAGTGTCTCCATTCCTCCAGTGCCAATTTGATGGCCAACAGCTCATGGTCTCCCACATTGTATTTCTGCTCTGCGGATGAAAGTCTACGAGAGAAAAAGGCGCATGGATGGATCTTTTGATCCGTGTCAAGTCTCTGGGATAGGACCGCTCCAACACCAGAATCTGAAGCGTCCACTTCGAGGATAAACTGTTTAGATGGGTCAGGCTGTATTAACACTGGTGCTCTGGAAAACAAAGACTTCAATTTCTCAAATGCAGATTGTGCCTCAGGTGTCCATTGAAAAGTGCGTTTGACAGAGGTCAGTGAGGTTAAGGGAAGAGCTGTCTGGCTATAGTTCCTGATGAACCGACGATAAAAGTTTGCAAAGCCCAGGAATCTCTGTAGCTGTTTGCGGTTCTCTGGAACTGGCCATTCTAACACGGCTTTTATCTTGTCCTCAGATGGTTTAACCTGGCCGCCCTCGAGCACAAACCCCAAAAAGGTGACTGAAGACTGATGAAATTCGCACTTCTCTGCTTTTACGAACAGCTTGTTCTCCAGTAGTCTCTGCAACACAAGGCGGACATGTCTTTTATGTTCAGAAAGGTTCTTCGAGTAAATGAGTATGTCATCAATATAGACGAACACGAACACATTTAAAAAGTCTCTGAGCACATTGTTCACGAGGGCTTGAAAACAGGCTGGAGCGTTAGTTAAACCAAAAGGCATCACCAAATATTCAAATTGACCCAAGGGGGTTTTGAAGGCTGTTTTCCACTCATCTCCATCTCGGATCCTAAGAAGATGATATGCATTCCTCAAATCCAGTTTTGTGAAAACAGTAGCCCCTTGAACAGGTTTGAATGCTGAGGCGAGTAGAGGAAGTGGGTACTTATTCTTTATTGTAATTTGGTTCAAACCTCTGTAATCGATACATGGTCTCAGGGAACCGTCCTTTTTGCCAACAAAGAAGAACCCGGCGCCCAATGGAGAGGAAGATGGGCGGATTATTCCAGCAGCTAAGGATTCATTAATGTACTTCTCCATGGTTTCTTGTTCAGGTTTGGAAATGTTGTATAATCTGCTGCTAGGTAGTGGTGCTCCAGGTAATAGCTCAATGGCACAGTCATATGGTCTGTGTGGAGGTAGGGACGTAGCACTGACCTTACTGAAGACAGGACCCAAGTCATGGTACTCGGAAGGAACAGAAGAAAGGTCAGGAGAGTCCATCTCCCCCCCACCTCTAGGAGACCCCACCAAGGGGGCAGCCAAACAGAGGCATGTTTCATGGCATGAAGTTGACCATGATTCCAGGTGACGATCAGTCCAATTAATGTGCGGATTATGTTTCTCCAACCATTCGAAACCAAGCACCAGGGGAGAGCATGCGAAGGGAAAAACAAAAATGTTATTGTCTCTCGGTGGTTACCTGAAAGAAGTAGCTCGAGGGGTTGAGTTTGATGGGTGACTTGGTGGAGTCTTTTCCCATCAATGGCAGAAACACAAAGAGGTTGAGTCAGAGGAATTGTTTCTATCTGTAGTTGTTGGACGAGGTTCAAATCAATTAAATTTCGTTCACAGCCTGAATCGATGAATGCAGAGAAAGAGAGGCTTTGATTAGCACAAAACAACGTGGCTGGAAGCAACAGTCGAGGAGATTTTTTAGTGTTAGTTTGGCCCGCCAGACTCCTCAGATCCTCTGGCGGGCCCAGGCTTTTGATTTAGCCGGGCAGGAAGCCCGGCTAAACCCGGATCCATGGGTTCGACATCTCTTTCACCAGAATGAGAGGCCTGAATAGGCAGAGGGAGAGACTGGGCCTTAGGTCTCTGTATGGGCAGCTGCTCTGTGGGGGAAGAACAAACAGTCACGTTATGTGAGGCAGAGGAAAGTGTCCCCTGACTTCTTGATTTAGAACTGTTTCTAGCATGGATTCTATTATCCAATCTGATCGTCAAACGAATTAATTCTTCGAGGGTAGCTGGTTCGTCGAGAGTTGCGAGCTCATCCTTAATGTGCTCATTTAATGCCATAAAATAGGCTCCTTTCAGAGCGCTTTGGTTCCATCCGGAAGCTGCCGCTTTAACCCGGAAGTTGATGGAGATTTCTGCCACAGAAGAATTTCCCTGCTTTAGATTGAAAAGAGCTCGCGAGTCAATAGTTTTATCAGTTTCCTGATTGAATACTTGGGTAAATTCAGAAATGAAGTCAGAGTAATAGCAATTGAGGCTATCATCGGAGGCAAATCTTGCCTGAGCCCACTCCAAGGCTCTTCCTGTAAGCTGAGAAAGGATGAAAGTTATCTTTTTATAATCCGTGGAAAAACTGCCTGGAGAGTTCTGAAAAATTAAACGACATTGAA